TTCCATTCAGGTTGATCGTATTCCTAGACGTCCCATCCCATGTACTTGCCTTATCCGCTTCAGATGTAGTTGTTCAGTGAGACCATTAAAAATTGCACCCCATCTGAGAACAACTTACTCGGCCCCCGACCCCCAAATGTTCTTGTCTTGTACATCATTGCTTTGCGTGGGTTGGATTGTGAGCAAAGGCACAAATTTATCAACCGGGGAACGTACACAGTCTTTCCTGTCTTCATGCAGGGTGTGATGAATATGTTGTATAAACGTCACAAAAACCCCAAATTCCCTCTCCCCATCCTGAAATGGAGGTGTGGGGGGGCTAACACTTAGCGATACGGAAAAGGTATTTAAAACGGTCTAACCTCTGCTGACGTTGTGGCGTCATCCTCTGAGCTGCCGATGGCTTCACTTCCTGTGTGGCTGTCTGAGGTGGGCGTTTTAGAAACGCTGTGTGTTCTTCCAGCCAGGAGGAGATGCAGCGGAGGGGTGTTTATGCACCCCAGGACCTGTACACCTTTCCCCAGACGCGGGTGGGTGAGTCCTGCACCTTGAAGGTCCACGTGCGTAACAACTCCTTTGACACTCACGAGGTATGTGATATGACCCAAAGGATTCTGGGTGGTGGGAAGAGCCTGCATAAGCAGGAAATGTAGCAGATCTAAGATTGGGAGGATAGCCTGTCATGCAGGGGCTCATGGGAAACGGATAGATGTTTTAGTTTGCTAAGAAAGGACAAGTGTTCTCCATTCAGCCTGAGTCAGAGGAGATTCTGAAGCCTGTCTGTCAGCTTTAAATTATCTCCTGTAAATTCTGTCCATGAACTTTAGTCATGTTTGGATATTAGGATGTGAGTCAAGGTATCAATAGCTAACATCCATACTGATGCTTCTCAGAAGAGCTGCCTTAGTGGTCAACTTGATTAGTCTGGCAACAGTCCTGCCATGTCATCTTCTGAAGAAGTGGTCTTTGGACCAGCTTTCATCCCTAAGAAAAACATCAAGATGGTCAATAGTGACTAGACTAGCAAGTTTATCTGAAACCACAAGCTCCAACCTACAACTGTCATATGATGTGTTGAATTCACGCACAGAATGTTGCATGGGACCACATTTGATGCATGAGGTACGCTGTCTCTCCCCCGAATGCTCTGCATGGATTTGATGTTGAGCTTCTCTAATTGAATTGCAGCTGAAATTCGTAAGCCCTAGAGAGCCCTTCCACATCAAGCATTGCAAATACTCTCTAAGGTGAGTGGCTCCTCTTCGGGATAATCTCACAGATTTTCTGGGTAACGGAAGGTTAGCGCCATAATCTGGTGCGGGTGTTTGGCAGCAGAAGACTGGGAGCGAGAGGATATTCCTGCCAATTGTGCTTGGTGGGGGGCCTCTGGTTTCTCATGGTACCAAACTGCAGGTACTGTGGTGGCTGGCGTGTGACAGGAAGTCCTATACGCAACGTCGTTTAGGTTTGGAAACACTTCAGGTTGCACGTGTGCTGTGGTCACTGACCAGCAGCCTTGCAGTCCCATGGCTGAATGCGCCATCGGTTCTCCTGCAGCCTCACGTTGACAGCTACCTTCCAGACTGCAGTGACTCCTTTTTTTTTTTCTTTCTTTATATTCCCTCCACCCCCCCCCTCTCTGCGGAGGACTGCTTTATTTCTATTTTCTTATTTATTTATTTTTGATTTATTTACTTCCTCAAGAGAAGGAGAGGGAGAGAGAGGAGGAAAAAAAAAAACAGATAATCTGCTTCCATGTCTACTGAAGAGAGAAAAGTCTGCAGTGACTCCTAATGCATTTTCAGCTGCCGATCTGCAACTAAACCCGGATTGTGTGCTCTTAACATGGCATGGATTGATTCGTTATCTGTTGGCAGGATTAAACATCAGCATCGGCTGTAGAATCGATGTCCCATGTGGGAATTAATATGTTTTACATACTTCATAATTTAGAGGGAGTCTGCGGGGCTTGAAGCATGCCAGCTGGTGTTTGTGCAGTAAATTGCAGAGCGTTAATGCCTCCCCCCCCCTCCCCCCAGGTCCCAGCACTACATCAACCTGCCCGTCCAGTTCAGGCCCACGACGGCAGGCAGGAGCTCCGGCTTACTGCTCATCCAGACCGAATCAAGCGGCATCCTCACCATTCAGCTGACTGGTGATGCGGTGCCCTGAGCAAGGCGCCCCCTTCAGGGAGACCTGGGGAAGTGCCATGTACTGGTACGCCTGTGTCTGGGCAAAACAGTCAGCTCCCAGAAAAGGGTCCCCCTCCTGGCTTTCTGAAGCAGACTGACACTCAGCATCTCATGCCTTTCTTTTAAAATCTTTCCTGTAGATAAATCCACAGGCTTTTTGTCAGATCAACACTCCACGCCCCTTTAGCTGCTCATGTGGTTCAGTTGACAGCCCTGTTCCACAGTCAAGATTTTATGGTGCCTAATGCTGCTTTGAGATATCGGTATAGTGGCCTGTGGATGGGCTCACTCTCCCTTTACCTCACTTGGTGTGATTTAACCCCATGGAAGCTACTGCTAGGGGCTGGTAGCTGATTGAAGCTGCATGATGGTCCCGTCCACAGCGGGTCCAAACATCACGCTACGCTATTCGTCACCATCAGCGTGAATCTCTCTGAATAGACCAGCCAGAGCTCACTCTAAACATTAAGGGATGCTTCACTATAATCCATTTTTGACAAGTTATCTGTCCAGATCCACTTAGGTTTTGATCAGGAAAGGCTTCGACATCATTAGCAAGCCAGTTGATCAATGTTAAGATGGTCACCCCGAGGTCTATCTGGGCGCCCGAGAGGCCGGCTTGTTTTGTCATGTGGGAGCTGTTACCATGACACCCGTATCTTCTGCCGAATAGTCCTGTGTGTGAGTCAATCAAGGACCTTTTAAAGAAATGTGGCACAAACCCCCCCACCCCCACACACACCTTACCATTGCCAATTTCACATTGTAATGGTCTTTTTGCAGTTTTCAATATTTTAAGAGTTGATACAGATAACCCTAAGTCTGCCAGTCAGGGAATGTTATATTCATCAAACAGGTATTTTTTTGTATCCTGTTAGTTTTGCCAAAAGATGGAGGTGTGCCAGTCTTTTAAATATTTCATAACTTCTACATGCTTCTTGCATCTTCCTTGATGTATCTTACAGATGTATTTATTTTTAAATAATGTACTTGGTAAAATAAATGATTTACATTGACTATCGCCTGTTCAGTTTCTTGTGAGGTAAACCTTTTATAACTCCTACAGGGAAAAGGGACAACTATGGTATTAAATTATTATAAAACAAATGGATCACGGCCCCTTTCCCTGATCACCAGTCGTCCTGGGACAGTGCAGCGTTGTAAACAGATTTTCTGTACTGATGTATAAAACGTCTCTTTACCGCTCTTCTGCCTGAGGGTTGTGTAGAATGGACAATCTTTATGAAATATGAGTGTGTGCGTGCGATCCCCGCTAAGTGGTGCTTACGTCCGGTATTTCGGGAGGGAGACGCCTGGACGCACTTGTGCCGGGCTCCGAGGGCGCGGTACACGGCACCACCAGTGCGTGCGCGGTGCTCCCGTCGCCACGGAAGTGAGCCTGTGCACCCGGAGCGATCGGGACCCGACACAAGCAGATTGCCGGGAACAGTCAGCTTCCCAGCCGCAGAGACGGTGCCCAGGGAGCATATGGTGCCCTAATTACCCACCTGAAAGGCCCCCGGCCATGTCTGAGTTGGACAGAGCCGCCCCGCCTACTTTCCCAAAGGGCCAGAGCTCCCTCCCCCCGAGGTTATTATGTTAGGATTACGTTATAAGGCCTCCCCAGGGCACCTGTGAGCGCATGGTACTTTATCAGATTGATTGAACCCCCCCCCAGTTTATCAACAGACCACCATCCCCGAGGGCGAGGGATTTATTCAATTAAACTCACACCAGGAGACTCGGTCATAGCGATAGTTTATACACTTTTTTTTTTTTTTTTTAAGGAATTTTAGGCTCATTTATTGTACATGCTTTTTATATACAGTAAGTCATATATTTTCTCTTCGCTATGTAGATACGTACTTTATATATCGTTTGTTTTTGGTCTTAAACTAAAATAGAAACTATTTCCTTTGCACTTAACGGGTGTTCCGTTCAGTTTAATATAAATTTTACATACACATTGCATTGAGTTACAGGCTAAACTACTTTGCTTAAAGAGCAGTGGATCGTTTCTCCTATCCTATTCAAATATAACACGTTGTAACTTTAAATATGCTCTTGTAACATTAAAATCGTCAGAATCGCGCAATTTGTAAATTGATAAGCCACAATCAAATCTAACTGGAATATCTGACCTTCCAAACAACATGGAAAATTCCATCTTTCCACTAGAATTCCCAATCTTTCTGACGTTTTAAAAGAAGTCAAGCTTTTAAAGCGCCCATTAATGTTAAAGAAATAAAGTTTCGTCTGGATATGGTCGTAGTTTCCATTGTTTTTCTTCAAGTGATGGAAATAGAAGAAGCGCAATCAAGACTTCTCCACTAGAGGGAGTGTTTGTTAGCTATGGGAATCGGAAGACCAAAACAAACACGTAGCTTTCTGTACATGGCATAATTAATTGAGACAGGGTACTACTAACTACATTATATAATATGACACCCCACTACAAATGCTTGTTTATCGGTAATGAACATCAGCAAGGTTACAGAACTTGTCTCACAGGATCATTCATTCATTTTCTATACGCCTTATTCTATGCAGGGTCGCAGGGGTCCGGATCACATCCCGGAAACAATGGCCGCATTGCCGACTATCGCAGGTCGCTTACACCATTCACACCCACGGACAATTCACTTTAGCTTGTTTTTGGAGCGGGACTACGACGGAGAGAAGTCCAAACACATGGAGCCGAGGCGGGGAATCGAACCCATGTGAAGCGACCGTGCACCCCCCCCCCATTAGATTCGATTCGATTCGATTCGATTTATTTTTATATAGCAACAAAGCCGTTGCTTTTTTTTCCTTCAAAATCTATACACTTGGATGGTTAAATCAGGAAATTAAATTACCTTGTTGAAATGTACTACAGCAGGGATTTCACTGTATGCTGAACCTTGACATTTGAGGTCAATACATGTCCTTAACTATATACAGTGTCATGAACTAAATTCCCATATTTAATTGCATTAGGCCAACAGATACAGCTGACTACATCTACAACTTAGCGGAGTTGCCGGCTTTTGTGGCCGTTACGTTAGTACTCCTACTCTGCAGATGTCGCTACAGCTTTTTGGAAATTAGGCGCATGGATGTACGGGGGAGGGGGGGTACGCGGAGAGCGGTGGAGCGCCGCTGACTGACTCGCAGTCTTCGTGAGCGATCGCGGCGCCCAGTCTCCGGCAGCCAGCTACGGACCAGACGCACAGGACAGCCGCAGGGAGGGATCGCCCGTCAGCCCGGAACAGACGCGCTCAGCGGGAAGGCGCACGACTGGAGGTAACGCGGCGCTTCCACCGGCAGCACCGGCAACCCTCAAACAGAAGCGCCCCGGCGGACGTTGCAGACTGCGGGGGCATTTCTGAGCGCTTTGCACGAACGGGCTTAGTTAGACGAGGCTAATACGGCGCATTAAAGGAGCGGTGTGAGTTGCAGGGAGTTACTGCGGGCTGTACAAGTTTAAGATCCCCAATCCTTAAAGGGGCCGCATTTAAACGTTCGCAAAATCTGGAAGTCAGTGGAAATTGTTTGCCATGCATTTATCTAACATCCTCACGATATATCATCTTGCGTGTTTATTAATAAACTCCTACGGTCCCGTTATGTTGCACACATCACATCAGCGTGTAATTCGCCGCGGTCTGTCGGCGTTCTTCGTCCATGTTTATTCTGCACGGCAGGCAGCGCTGGCACGCTGATGCTGCGCTTATTTCCGATGCTGTGCGCTTAAATGTTGTCTCTGAATTAAATTATTGGGTAATCCGAGTCCGCCCGGCACGCACAGTCCCGTCGGCTGCGGGTGCTGGAGACGGATCCATGTTTTAAGGCTGCGCGCATCTCCCGTCCGGATCGGTTTATGGCGCATTATTGCGGCCAGTTATCTGTCCTTGCAAACTTTTATACGTTTAGTTATCGGTTACTAGTTGCCCTTGTTTATTGCACGAGCCAGCCCGTTAAATCGCCTTTTCCAGCTCGTACAGTTTATGTGACGTTTGTGTTTACATAACTGCCATTAATATCTAGATTTTTTTTAACTATGTGTTACGGAGTAAAATAACAGGAAAGGAGGGGGGGGGGGGCTCCAGGCTTTGTTTTTCATGATTATTTAATTTATTATGGTGCATATTAGCTGTTAGTAATATTCGGTAATAGTTTGGTTAACATCTCGCGTGTCGGTCTTTTCAGATTTGAAACGTAAACATTTTCTCATTTAATCGGGGTTTAACACATTTATACGTGTGAATCCGACTCCTTGGTTGTTTGATGCCTTTGCCGAATTTCTGCTTCATTATGCACTATGGATCGGATAAAGTAGGCGGATGTCTGCTTGATACAAATATAGGGGGAATGATATTGAAAACGGGAAGATGTATAAAATCAAGCAGCGTGTGTATCTTTTGGGGCAGACGGGTTTCATTACGGTAAATGTGCATGGATGTGCTCGGGTGTATCTGAGGCGACGCGGCGGCTTCCTGCCCTGCTGCAGCCCCCGCTGTGTTTTATTTAATATATTGACGGTATTGAAGGGCAAATATATATTTTTGCATTAATTCTTCGTGCAAACCGTAGACCGTCCGTCATATAGCGATGCATAGAATGACACTCTTGGGTGACATGCAACTTATCCCCTGGCCACCGAGTCTGTTTTGCTCCTATAAGTAATACTGGAGAGTAACTGGATTCCAGTCGGCTTCCTAATTTACTTTACGCAAATGTTGGTACGAGAGATGGTATCTCTGTTTCACCACTGAGTAAACGTGCTTGTAAAAGAGCCATTTTTAAACTATCAATGTCTGAAAACTTTTTGGTCCTGCGCTTAAGTTCATATAGAGGCTGCTGGTGCGCTGGAGGGTTGACTTTCGTTAGCAGATTAAAAGCCTTTCCTGGAATATGCGCGAACCGGTACATGGGCCGCACCCATGCTTAAAGCTCTACATTTTCCAGCCAGTCTTTATGTTGTCGCTGGAATACAAAAAAAAGAAGCAAATTTAAAAGACATAAATACGGCGGAGTAGTCGGAGATTAGATCAAGCTGAGCGGCACGAAAATGGATGGGGTAGATATTTAGTGAAAGTAGGACGTGGGATCCTCAGCTGTCGGCGGCGAAGCTGAGCGCGTCCCGGCTTCTGCTTCCAGCGTGGACGGTAAAATTAGAGCCCTGTGGCCTCGCATTGGCGGAGGACCCTGCGCATCCATAATTGAAGCCCTTTCTGTCACAATTGAAGCCCCTGAGCTCTTTTGGTTCTCTCAGCCTGCCCCTCCCTGGCTACTCATATTTAATGCATCTGATGGTGGTTTGGGGGGGGGGCAGCTGGTACTGTCTCCTTAGCTAGCTTGAGTCTACCCTCTCAGCCGCTGTGACTGGCCATTTCCTTCATTCGTTGGGCGGGGGGGGGTTTAACTACTGCATTATAAAGTTCTGTTTTTCCTACTTTGAACATCATGCTTCATGTGTTTTTTGTTTTTTTTTTTGGGGGGGCGGCAGGGAAAGTGCAAATTGGGGTATTAAATATATACTCATATTTCTTGCATCTGTAGTTTACCTTGAACAATGCAATTGCCATATGGTGAGATTAGTGCCAAAAGTATTATTGGTCCACCGAATGTTCTGGAAGTTGCCAAGAAGTATCATATTGTTGATGCATAAGTAAGTTTCAGGGCATGATTTTTGCTGACTGGATGCAACCACCTGAAGATGAATTAGGTGAAATGGCGTTTGTGTGTGATGGTTTTTGGGTTTATCTTGTCACTGGGATGGACAGAGGAGCCATATGCTTTTTTTTTTCCTCACTGCGGTTGCCCATGGTCAAATAGCAGATAATTCCCCGAATGAATAGTGCCTCTAAAGGGCCTGGATGGGTCCCTCTGTCCTCCGTCTCCCTAAGCCTACATCTTTTCTTTGTCTCTCGAGGAAGACGATGTAGGTGTCCTCATTCCCCCTTCCGTCATTGTGTGAAGCGATACCCCCAGGTGAAACTGTATCTTTGATGCTGCCATTTGCGGGTGGGAGGGGGCACATTTGGCTTGGCATTTTTTGGCTGCAAAGGTCTCGGGCAAATGAGATGCAGACCACAAGAAGTGTCTTGTTCCGCTTGGCCGACACTGGTGGGGGTGCTACGTCATGCTGCCCCCCCCCCCCAGACATTGCCCGTCCTGGGAGCCGCCACCATCACCGGGACGCGTCTTGAATAATGCAGAGGCGAGCCGCGTCTGGAGTGCCGCGCGATCCGCAGATGCGCAGACGTCAAGCCATGCTGAACGGACCCCCGCTGGAGTCTGCCGTCCGCGAGCTGTGAAGGAAAAAAAAAAATGTAAAAATGGAGGGGAAAAAAAATACATAGAAACATGAAGGATTTTTTTTTCCTGCTCAAAGCTGGGTGTTTAGCTTGATTTTGCTGAGCACCTGTTGGAGGTCTGTCGCTGTGCGTGAGGCAGATCTGTCAGTAAGATCACAGATGCATATAAGGAGCTGGTTACGGGTTCGAACAGCTGTGGACGTGTAGGGCATCCAGCGATGAGACACCACTGGGGTACTCAAGAGTGTCACTCTGCCTTGTATTTTTGGTACAGCCTTTTTGTCAATTTCCCCCTCAATTCCACCCCCGCTGACCCAATGTCAGCGTTAGGAAGTGTGCAACAGCGCAAAAGCTACGCATTGCTGCTTGGGAGAGAGGGCACAGAGGGCAGACTGGCGCTCCTTTGCTCTGCCAATTAGCAGACTCACACCTCAAACGGCTTCTTCTGTATTAGAGGTGCCACTTGGGAATATGAGAGGGATAGAGAGACTGAGAAATGGATGGAGGGCAGGAGCTGCGAGAATGCGGAGCAGCTAGTCGCTGGTTACGCCAAGTCAAGTTTTGTGGCTGAAAATTACACTGTGATGTTTTGGGTGTCCGGCACCTTCCGTCCGACGATCCGCAGCGTTTCACGGCAGCCTTCCGGGCCGTACAGACTCCTGATAATTTAGACACAGTTGTCACCCCCCCCCCCCCCCCCCCCATGCTGTGTTGGAATAGAGAGTCGTGCCATGNCCCCCCCCCCCCACCCTCCCATGCTGTGTTGGAATAGAGAGTCGTGCCATGCAATATGTCCGTTTCCCATGCATGCAGCCAGTTGGTGGAGGGAGCACCGCCCAGCGGCGGGCTGCTTTCCTGGGGGAGGCCCCGGGGTGACGGCCGGCTCATGTGGTGCCTCAATACGGGGATTCTTTCAGCCGCGCGAGGGCCGGCGTGAGGTCGTCTGTGACCATGGTTTCCGTACATCCGGAGGACTGTTTTTAGCTGCTCAGTGGGATGGAGAGTGTGACAGAAGTTTGGAGGCAAGACGTTTGTCAAGGGAAGGGAAGAATGGGATGATATTCTGTTTTCTTTTCCCCCCACTGCAATTTACCCGCAGCTGTAATCATAGCTTTTCACTTAAAACCAGCTTTAAAAGTTGAATTTGTTAATTGCTGATGAATATCCTTTTGAAAAGAAATAAAATAATGTTCTATTAAATGGTTGATTTAATAATTCATGGTTTGGGAGTTTGTCACTGTGTATCAGGCCTCTAACCAAGAGCATTCCTATGCCCTGTATGTAAAACGCACCTATTTAAGTGGGTTCTTATAGCTTCGCTGGATGGGCTGTAGGCCATCAGTGGTGACACAGTTGGAAACTGCAAGATAAATTTTGTCTGGTTGTTTTGTTTTTGAGACTTTCTCTGCAAGAGCAAAACATTTTCAAACTCGCTGGGACCACTATCTTTGCGACTTCAGTTCTTTCTCTTCTGCAAGTATTAATTTAATTGACTGCAGAATCTGTCGACGTGGATCAGAGTGCCCAGATTTAATTTTTTATTTATTTTTTTTCCCTCTTAAAAAAGCTCTTAACGGGCCGAACATTCCGTGTCATTTTGCCGTTTCCAGAAAGCAGACGTCTTAAATAGCCCAGGGCCATAACCGCCTGGCACACCACTTCTGAATGGCCGATAACATGAATAAAAATGTTCCTTCCTCTGTTTTTATAAACTGCTTTTTAAAATTCTTTCGTGCAACACACAATGGAAGAACTTTTCCCCGAGCCATAAAAGTCAAATGATAGTTTTTTTTATATATATATATATAATGTATGAAAAACTTTTGTGGAAGGCCTCTAAAATTGCATTCCATGGCAGTATATCAAAATTAGCTGGGGTCTGTTCCTTTGCTTACTTCATATTAATGTAATGATTAGTGATAAAATGATTACTGTCCTCCTGCATTGATCCCAGCAATGTTCGACAGCACAGTGTACATCTTG